CCCAAGAACAACGTAGCGGCCTGGCCGATGTGCCCAATGCGCTGGGCTTCCACCGCATAGTCGAGACCGAAACGAACGGTTACCTAGTCCGACAGTTCCTCTACAACTCCCTATACGATCGCATGAGCACCCGTCCATTCCTGGAGGATATCGAGAAGAAATGGCTGGCTTTCCAGCTGCTGTGCGCTCTGCGCGACTGCCATGCTCGAGACATTTACCACGGCGACATCAAGACGGAGAATACGCTGGTGACATCTTGGAACTGGTTATATCTCTCCGACTTCTCTGCTCCCTTCAAGCCCATCTTGCTGCCCGACGACAATCCAGGCGACTTCTCATACTACTTTGACACATCTGGACGACGGACATGCTACGTGGCGCCCGAACGCTTCGTCGCGGCAGAGGAGGTTAACAGCAAGGACGCGAAGCTTACGTGGGCTATGGATGTCTTCAGCGCCGGCTGCGTCATTGCCGAGATGTTCTTGGAGTCGCCCATTTTCACACTAAGCTCATTGTACAAGTTCCGCAAGGGCGAGTATGACCCAGTCATTTCGCAAATCAGTCGCATCCCGGACAAGGACTTGCGGGATATGATATCACACATGATTCAGCTTGACCCCGAACGTCGGTATTCTGCAGAGCAGTATTTGGATTTTTGGAAGAAGAAGGTCTTTCCCGAGTACTTCTACAGCTTCCTTCACCAGTACATGGAGTTGATTACGGATCCCTCATCTGGGAATAGTCCTATATCTGGTGCGACGAGAAACCTGGGAGAGGCGGATGACCGTATCGATCGCGTATTCCTCGACTTTGACAAGATATCATACTTTCTTGGTTATCCAAACGACAAACGCCCGATGCAAGTCGAACCTCTAGCCGGAAAGCTGGGGCTGGGTCACTTTCCCATTCGCCTCAACATACCAAACCATGAACAGTACATCACTGGGACATCCGACCCGCCTGAAGACGACGGGACTTTGATCTTCCTCACATTGATTGTCTCATCCCTTCGTAACACGGCTAGGGCGGCGTCAAAGATCAGAGCTTGTGACGTTCTGCTAGCCTTCTCCGAGAGGATCACGGACGAAGCAAAGCTAGACCGCGTGTTGCCATACCTCATAACGCTTCTTAATGATAAGTCGGAACTTGTGGTCATCGCTGCGCTCCGGTCAATAGCGCAGTTGTTACACCTAGTCCGAGTGGTGTCTCCTGTCAACTCGCACATCTTTGTCGAGTACATCTTACCTCGACTGCAAAGTGCCTTGATTGCACCATCGAAACCGGCCAGCCCGTTGGTACGAGCAACTTATGCATCTTGTATAGGAAGCCTTGCAACCACAGCTGCCCATTATTTGGAACTGGCAGCAACCCTCAAGTCGGACGGAACCCTAACAGTGGCTGACCCTGAGCTCGAGCCAGGAATTGAAGCCGAGGCCGCCTTTGATGGACTGTTCGATGACGCACAACGTGAGCTCTACGAGATGTTCGAGCTTCATACGAAGGCACTTGTGGAGGACTCAAACGTTTCTGTTCGCAGGGCATTCCTGACTTCTGTGCCCGATCTGTGCCTCTTCTTTGGTCCTGCAGAGGCAAACGATATTCTTCTGACCCATTTAAACACCTACCTGAACGACCGAGACTGGATGCTGAAGTGTGCCTTCTTCGAAACCATCGTCAGCATAGCCAGTGTGGTGGGAAGCGTCAGCCTCGAGGAGTTCATGCTGCCACTTATGGTGCAGGCCTTTACTGATCCAGAGGAGTTTGTGGTACAAGCAGCTCTGCATTCTTTGGCACAACTAGCGCGGCTCGGGTTACTGTCCAAAACCAAAATTTGGGAGCTGATAGACGTTGTTGCACGATTCACCATGCACCCCAACCAGTGGATCCGAGAATCTGCGACAGAGTTCCTATCTGAGACGACTCGTTTCTTGTCTCCAGCAGACGTTAGGTGTATCGTATATCCTCTGGTCAAGCAGTACCTCAAGACCGGAATGGTTCCTGCATTTTCAGAGCTCAGTTTGTTGGACGCTCTGAAGCGGCCAATGTCGAGAGCCGTATTTGATCAGGCCCTAGTTTGGGCTCTCAAGACCGACAAGGGCGTCTTCTGGAAGCTGACGCAGCAGCTCAGGTCATTTTCGTTTGGATCGCTCCCCAAGACTATCAGCAGTCGGTCTTCTAAGGATACACTGAGCAAAGTCTCGCGGAACGATGAAGACGACTTATGGCTTGGACGTCTTCGGAACCTTGGCCTCGGGCCGGACGACGAATTCAAACTTCTCGTGTTGCGAGAGTTCATCTGGCGGATCAGCAAAATGAAATCACGGGATGGGATGGACGGCGAACCGGCCAAGCTCAATGAGGTGGTCTCCCTCAAGAGTTTGGGCATCACTCCGCAGACAGTATTCTTTGACGACGAGCCTCTGCAGCAGTCTACATTTACGCCCGAGTCAAACCAAAAGGGGCCCTACACCATCGCCGATGCTCTGCTGGATGCCTCCATGACGATCGATGACTCGACAGGAAGGAGACGGTTTGCAGCTCTCAACAGTCTCCGTACTCGCGTTGTGGAAGACCAGGGGTCTACTTCGCGTGATGTTTCTCGTGTAAGAGAAATCGACCCTGCGAGGCGCGCATCGACTGGGCAGGGCAAGCTCACGGTTGGGAGCCCGACTGACGATGGGGTCTCTATCCATGACCAGCCTTATGCAACTCGGAGGGCCATTCGCCACCAGGCCAGCGCCCTCAGTCTCCTGGACCGTAAAGACAGCAACAAGAGCGTCCCTGAGACTGGCATGTCGGGAGCAAATGCTGTTGGACAAGTGGAGGGCCCGTTTGCCCCGGCTCCTCTTGCTCGACCAAATATACAGGATCGTCAAACCAGTACAACAAGTGTAGTGGCCAAACTCAGGTCCAACCACTCCTACGAGGGAACCGATCCCAGCATTCTCAAAATGCTCGACTCAATGTACCAGGACAACTACCCTCACGATATCGCCGAGTTCGGACCGATGGTGACCCCTATCACGCGTCGAAAAACAAATCGCTCAGTTGGACAGCCGGGCGATGAGCCGTGGCGCCCACATGGACGGATGGTTGCCACCTTTGCGGAACACACCGGCTCAATCAACCGTCTGGTGGTGTCTCCAGACCATGTGTTCTTCATCACAGGAGGCGATGATGGCTCCGTCAGAGTCTGGGACAGTGCCCGCCTCGAGAAGAATATCACGCACCGATCCAGACAAACCCATAAGCATGCCGATGGGGCCAGGGTGCTTGCGCTGTGCTTCATTGAGAACACACACTGCTTCATCAGCTGCGCCAGCGACGGAAGCGTCCACATCGTCAAGGTCGAAACTGTTTCGGCAAGTGGGACACTGCGATACGGAAAACTTCGCCTTCTGCGGGAATATCAGCTGCCAGAGGCCGAGTACGCAGTGTGGTGTGAGCACTTCAAGGTGGAATCCACCTCAGTGATGCTTCTCGCGACGAATCGCTCCAGAATCCTCGGCATCGATCTCCGGACCATGTCACTGCTGTATACGCTGGAGAATCCTGTCCACCATGGGACACCTACGTGTTTCTGTGTCGACCGTAAGAGAAACTGGCTATGCGTGGGAACAACCCACGGAGTCATAGACCTTTGGGACCTAAGGTTCCGAATGAGACTCAAGGGATGGGGCGTTCCTGGCAAGAGTTCCATCTACAGGCTATGCATACACCCAAGCAAGGGCAGAGGCAAATGGGTCTGCGTCGCTGGTGGAACGGGCCAGGGCGAAGTCACCGTCTGGGACCTAGAACGCACTATTTGCAGAGAAATCTACCGCGTCGGAGGCAATAAGGAGGGCCCCAAGGGGTACGAGGCTTGGGAGGTGGACGAGGACAAGCCTGAAGGTATGCTTGGGCGATTTGCTACTAACATTGAGCCAAGCGGGACCGGAAACACAGACCGAGGTGTTCGTGCGATGGTAGCAGGCACAGGCGCTTCGGAGGACTCACGCGACGTACGGCATGCATTCATCGTCACCGCGGGATCAGACAAGAAGTTACGATTCTGGGATCTGTCTCGCATAGAAAGCTCCGTGGTCTACAGCGGGCTACAAGGGGAGGACCCAAAGCCGACGTTTACGGCTTCGCACCCGACGACGGCCATGACGCTGAACACGGAAAGGATCCCGCGACAAGCACCGACGGCGCCGAATGCGGCGGTCGGCGGGAAGAGCGCAGGTGCTGGTGGGCGACCGCCGCGCTCGACTGTGATTTCGCTTCAGCAGCAGCAGCTTCTGCGGTCCCACCTGGATTCGATTATGGATGTTGCACTGCTTGAACTTCCGTATAGCATGACGCTGTCGGTTGACCGGTCTGGCGTGGTGTTTGTGTTTTCATAGCGGATTGCTTCTTGGGCGTTTGGTTGAGGGTTCTCTGAACATAGATACCTAGTGAATAAATTTTACAAGATTTACAGAAAGTTGGAGACCAATTTTGAGTTTGGTGATACATCACCTGAGAATGTCAGAATATTCGTTACATTAGGTAGCGTTATGTAGCCAACACGATTTCACATGTGTTCAACTGAGTATTTTTGAACTGAGATGGATGGTGTTATAAGTCATGGAGAACACAGTGCGTAATCAACCAATGTTCACAAACCGCGCGCACTGGTAGAGGGGAGTGGGCCGTGTTGATATGGGAATGCACCGTACGCAATCGCGGGGATGGCAGCTCTAATCAGGCGGGAAATCTTGGCCGCCTTGTTCGACCTCCAACTTTTTCAGCCTCGTCGAGTCTTTCAGTATCACGCATACCCACGCGACCAACCCCCAAGACGCGACGAAACGAATTGCGGCGGCGCCACTGACCGATCGCACAGCTCGACGACATAACCCGAGTCGCAACATCACCGAGACCACGATTCTACCATCCTGACACAGCAAAAACCCAAGACACTTTCGAGGTAACCCCCAGCACCACCACCAGCACCTAGCCGAACGAAGCTTTCCAAGATGAGGCTCACGGCGGAGCTCATCAAGGGCTCGCTCTCCTACCTGAACCCGCTCAAGGAGCGAGAGCTTGATCTCCGAGGTGCGTTTTGTGTGAAAGGAGCAGATACTACACTTTTTTGAGGGCCAGAATTGATAGCGTCTTGCGCCGGTTGGAATGAATAGGACATCGAATCCCGGCGATTGAGAATCTGGGTGTCGCAGGCGTGAGTACTTTTTTTCTTCCTCCCTCCCTACCATCCTTCCCTCGACATTACTTCATCCCCCTCACAGCTCTTGAAGAGAAATTAGAAGGGAAAGCGCATTTGCTGACCGTATTGCGAAAAATAGCCCCACGACTCCATCGACTTCACCGACAACGACATCCAAGTCCTGGGCAACTTCCCGCTCTCGGCGCGCCTCTCGACGCTGCTGCTGGCGCATAACCGCGTCGCGAGCATACAGGCCTCGCTCCCCCAAGCGGTCCCGAACCTGCAGCAGCTCGTGCTGGCGTCGAACCAGATTGCGCAGCTCGCGGACCTGAATGTGTTGGCGGGGTTCAAGCGGTTGACGCATTTGGTGTTGGTGGATAACCCGGTGACCAAGAAGGAGGTGCGAAACTCTCTTCCCAACCTTGTTTGCCTTTGTCCCTTAACTCAATTCTCTTGATGGGAACGAGGGGGGTGATTTCACGGCGGTGAGAGAGAGAGAAAGGCTGACAGCGAAGGCTTAGAACTACCGATACTGGGTCGTCTGGAGGTGTCCAACTGTGCGGTTCCTGGATTACCAAAAGGTCAAGGAGGCGGAGAGGGAGAAGGCGAGGGAGCTGTTTGGTACGCCGGAGGAGCCTACGGATGCGGCGGCCAAGGTATGTTTAACCAGTCCTCTCCTCTTCATCATACACACACCTCCCATCAGGCTTTTTACACGACTACTCTTTACACTACGCGATACTTACTCTTGCGTGTGTTCTTAGATCATGGGCAACAAGTCCAAACAACTCGACATCGCCGCCTCCAACGGCACGGCCGGCGACGGCGGCGGCGCGACCTCGAAGCTCTCGAGGATAAAGCTCACGGACAAGGAGAAGGAGCGGCTGAAGGAGATGATCAAGAAGGCCGACAGTCTGCAGGAGATTATCCGGCTGGAGAAGATGTTGACCGAGGGGACTATCCCGGCGGGTGTACATCTGGATGGGGACGCCACTATGGAGGACTGAGTGTTGGTTGCGGCAGGGAGGATGCCCCCTAACCCTCGAATACCTCTTCTTTTCAAGAGAGAGAGAGAGAGAGAGAGAGAGAGAGAGAAATAGGGCGGGCGAAGGATGCACTTGAAGGAGACATACGAAGCAACTTCAACTACGGTTGCGAAAAAAAAACGGGTCATATCATGGACTGGCGTTTGTTTTGATGAAGACGAACACTAAAGATGCTTTGGGTTGAAGACGAACTCTTGTTGCTAATGGATGGAGGGTTCGTTGGATCCGAGAAGACCGATTCAATACTCGTTCGGCAAGAAAAAAGGGGAAACAACTATTCATTGTACACTTCGTAATATTTTTTTGTTCCCTCCCCTTCGTTGGTGAATGCTGTGGTTCTGGCTATGATGTATGCTCTTAAGCCCCAAGGTCCACTGACCAAGATGCCCCTATCCCGTACAAACAGTTGCAAACAAGAGCCTGCCAAGCTTCCAGATGGTCTTTTCAGCTTGAGAAAAGGGCCTGGCCTGACCCTACAATGGAGTGCAGGAGAAAAAGACGGACTAGAATTTCGCCTATCCCGTCATGTCAACGTCCTCATTACCAGCCGCCTGACGAGCCTCGGCGTCCAGCTGGGCGTTGGGGTCGTCGGAGTGGAAGGAACCAGCCGTGATTGGATCCGAGGCGGCGGCGGCGCCGGCTGAGCCGTTGATACCATTGCTGTTGCTGCTGGAAGCGCCAGCGCTGGCGTTGGTGTTTTTGGTCTTGAGGGTCGACTGCCGCTTCTTGGGCTCCTGATCGGCTTTCCTAGGGTTGAGGCGCGCCGCCGCGGCGGAGTCCTTGATTTCTTTGTAGGGGACCGTCTTGGGTATGACGTCCTCGAGGAACTCGAGGTTGTCGTGGTGGTTGACTGCGGTTGCTAGAGGGTGTCATGTGTTTTGTTAGTGGCTGTTTTCAGTTTTGCTTCTACTACCTCATTTCTCAACACCTCAAGGGGAGAGCCTTGTCGCAGAAGGAGAGACAAGGGTGAAGAGGAAGTGGAGCATTGCTTCGTAAGATTCACGTACACAAGTCTTTGTATTGAACGTTACGACGAGGTTTACGCTCTGCCTTTGCCATGTTATGGCCCTCGGCAGCGAGGTACTGGATGAACATTTCCTTTAGGTGAAGGGTCAGCGTAAGCCTTTAATGAAAAGACAAGGAAGAAGAGCGTAGGTGTGAGCATCATACCGTTGCCAGAGTAATGACAAAAGCCGCGTTGTTTGAGCAGATTCCAATGTCTGGATCTGTGCCAATGATCTTCTTCACGCGGGCCACTTTCAGGGGGTTGTCAGAAAAGTCTGTGATACTGTGAAGAGGGAGGTGAGTGACTTACGAGGCAGGGCAGGCTGGCCTGTGACCTCCTTTCTGGGAGGTATCGCATTGTTGTTGGGAGGCATTGTGAATTGAGATGGGATGTGAGTGGTGTCTTGTCAGGAGGTGAGGTTCAGGCGATGGGCCTTGGACGATGTTAGCTGCATGAGACCATGGACTGTGGAATGAAAGCTCGTCTTAGTTGACAAGACCGTCCAAGCTGCCCGAAAAGGCTGAACATAGAATGAAGTTGAGTTTGATGAAGGACTTGTTTGGCCTCTCAAGAACGTGCCATACGAAAGTCAAGCAACAGAGATCGTCTTTGGAGGTCATGCAAATCCAATCTAGTGACCGGGTGCATGTAAGTGAGCCCGAGAATGCGTCCAAGGTGCCTTCTATGACATCCTGGCAGTATGTACAATGCTGAATTCCATGGCCTTGAAGGAAGTTCCCATTCCATATGATTGAACCGGAGACTGTGATGAAGGTAAAGAAGGGCTGCCTACCTGATTGAACCTTGGCGTGAGTGCCCGCCGAGGAGGATAAGGGGTCGGAGAGATACTGGCGTCTAGGGTCGAGTCCGCTTGGTCCTTTGCTGAATGATCTGATATGTTTTGATTCAACAACTACTTTGTTGAAGAGTTGCCGTAGTATTGTCGCTTGCAGGATTCGTGGGTGTGAGATGTCTTCTCACAGGTGGTCGTCAAGGAGAGAGGGAATCACTTTTGATAGATTCGCGCCAAAAAGGCCACTGGGACGCGACCACTAAAAACGCGCCGGTGTGCAGCGTACCAGGCGAGGTAAGTGGAAGCTTAAACGCCAATTGCAGGGGAGCCCCCGCCACTTTGGAGACGTTCACAGCGTCCCCAGTGCCCCAATTAGCTGGGAGACGGCAAATCGGCCATCATTGTCCTCATCATCCTTGCTCACCCAGCTAGCCTCGTCGCCGCAGCCTGCGACTACAACTACCTACCTTACCCTTGGTGATTGGCAAACAAAGAAGGCCTGCCTGGAGAAGATCTACAACTCGATACTATACAAAGCCTTGTTAGAACCAGAGCCAACCCGAACAAAAAGCAGCCAACTCCGAGGACGACACCCATTGGGACGTCCGCCGCTTCGCTACGAATCCTCGACCGCCGCGAACATGAGCACGGCGCGCATGCGACGACAATGACTTCCCGAAGCACATCCTTCTCGCACAGCCCGCACCGGCCCCCGCGCCCTTCCATCAGCTCGAGGATCTCCTTTGCCGTTTCGACCGCCGAACAGAGCGAGCACGATGACGAGGCCGCCGGCGCCCCGCCCGCGAGTCATCAGCAGCAGCAGATCGAAGATGAGATCGCCGAGATCAAGCGCTACGAGGACTTCACCACCATAGACTGGGTACAAGATGCCGCGAGGGAGCAGGCACGCAAGAAGCTGCGCCGGAAGCGGCGTGCCGGTATGCTCGACACAGGCCAGGCGGTGGGCTGGAGGTATCGTCTTCGCGAGTCCTACGATGCCGCGCAGGGCTGGCTCGTCGTCACGCTGATTGGTATCGCCATTGGGCTCAATGCTGCGTTCCTCAACATCATTACGGAGTGGTTGTCCGATATAAAGATGGGGCACTGCACGACGGCCTTCTACCTGAACGAGAACTTCTGCTGCTGGGGCGAGGACAATGGATGCGACGAGTGGCATCCTTGGACGGGGTTCGGCCCAGTCAACTACGTTATCTACATCGTCGTTGGCGCCCTCTTCGCCTTCACCTCGGCCACTCTGGTCAAGTCGTTTGCGCCGTACGCCGCGGGATCGGGTATCTCTGAGATCAAGTGCATCATTGCGGGCTTCGTCATGAAGGGGTTCTTGGGATTCTGGACACTCTTGATCAAGTCCGTCTGTCTGCCCCTGGCCATCGCCTCTGGCCTGTCCGTCGGCAAGGAGGGTCCCAGTGTGCACTACGCTGTGTGTACGGGAAACGTCATTTCTCGCTTATTCGAGAAATACCGACGCAACGCATCAAAGACGAGGGAGATTCTGAGCGCGTGCGCTGCTGCTGGTGTCGCTGTCGCGTTCGGTAGTCCCATTGGCGGAGTGCTTTTCTCTCTGGAAGAGATGTCCAACTACTTCCCCCTCAAGACGTTGTGGCGCAGCTACTTCTGCGCTCTTGTGGCAACGGCTGTGCTTGCGGCCATGAACCCCTTCAGGACGGGACAGCTCGTCATGTTCCAGGTCCACTACGATCGCTCGTGGCACTTCTTTGAAATTGTCTTTTACATCATCCTGGGCATCTTTGGCGGCCTATACGGCGCCTTTGTGATGAAGTGGAATTTGCGGGCTCAGGCGTTCAGGAAGAAGTACCTGTCAAAGTATGCCATCGCGGAGGCAACGATTCTCGCGGCGGGCACTGCCATCATCTGCTACCCCAACGTCTTTTTAAGGATCGACATGACCGAGAGCATGGAAATCCTGTTCCTCGAATGTGAAGGGGCCGAGGATTACCACGGCCTGTGCGAGCCGGACAAGAGACTTTCCAATATCTTGTCACTGGCCCTGGCCACAATTCTGAGGGTCCTGCTGGTCATCATCTCCTACGGCTGCAAAGTGCCAGCCGGTATTTTCGTTCCGTCCATGGCCATTGGGGCTTCATTTGGGCGGACAGTGGGCATCATTGTTCAGGCAATCCACGAGGCCAACCCTACGAGTGCCTTCTTTGCAGCTTGTAAGCCGGACGAACCGTGTATTACCCCCGGCACATACGCATTCCTCGGCGCTGCTGCCGCGCTGAGTGGTATCATGCACATCACCGTGTCCGTCGTTGTCATCATGTTTGAACTCACCGGAGCCTTGACGTACATTCTGCCCACCATGATCGTCGTCGGCGTGACCAAGATCGTCAGCGAAATGTTCGGCAAGGGCGGTATTGCGGATAGAATGATCTGGTTCAGCGGCTTTCCTTTCTTAGACAACAAGGAAGAGCACAACTTTGGCGTCCCCGTCTCGGAGGTGATGCGAAAGGAGCTTACATCTTTGCCTGTGACCGGCATGGAATTCTCTGAGCTGGAGAAGCTTCTCAAGGAGGACAAGTACCAAGGCTTCCCCATCGTGGAGGACACAACCTCAAAGGTCCTCGTCGGGTACATCGGCCGCACCGAATTGCGCTACGCCATTGACCGCGTACGGCGGGAGAGACCCATCAACCCGGAGTCGCGATGCATCTTCTCGCCTCCGCCGGCTTCACTGAACGCCACTACTCCACTGACGCCGATCGTGACGGTCAATCTGGACCCAATGTCAACCACGTCGGTTGATTTCAGCCGGTACATTGACACCACGCCTGTCACGGCGCACCCGCGCCTACCCCTCGAGACCGTCATGGAACTCTTCCGCAAAATCGGCCCGCGTGTCGTGCTCGTCGAGTACCACGGCCGTCTGTCGGGTCTGGTGACGGTCAAGGACTGCCTCAAGTACCAGTTCACAGCCGAACACGCCGAGAACCCGCGCGACGACTCCGCCTTTGCGGAGAGCCAGGAGAAACTGTGGAGTGGAATGCGGCGTGCGGCTGGTTGGGTTTCTGACAAGGTTTTGATGGCTTCCGGCGGGAGAATCCAGCTTTCGTCATTTGAAGAGCGGCGTGGTCTCGGCGGCAGTGGTGGTGGAGGTAATAACAACGGCGGAGGCAGTGGTGGAAGGCCGGCTGGGGCGCAGATATTAGACGGTGACGAGGATGATGTCGATGACGGTGCTTTGGAGCTCGAGAACCGGTAAAGAAGGCTCTTAGATTTCTAAGTGTTGATCTTCATTCAGTGCGAGCAACTTTCGGGGCAATGGAGTTTGAAATGCGTGATTCAGGGGAAAGAACATGGTCATTTGGGAGGTTAGGCGTATGTATACACAATGTCAGTTACGAACATATTGGTTTTGAGGATATAGATGTCGAATAGATTTGCACTGAATGTCGCTGCGAAGCCATACATCTCATCTCATCGTACCTTCCTTCCTTACCCCTATTGATTCATACCTTTCCGCATATTGTGCCGAGAGAACCTAAGGCTAAGGTATATACCCCCCTTCAAGTCCAATTTCGTCACCACAACCAGCAGGCGCCAGTCTAGGTCGACGGGTCAGGTCAAACTGGGGTTGGTGGGGGAGTGGTATACGGTCAACAATCCCAGCATGTGCACTCAGAGATGTAGCCCCCAGTTCGGCACTGGGGGGGGTGAACTCTTTTTTTCTTTTTCCCGAAGCCTTTGGTCTTCAACGCCCTTTTTGGCGTTTGCATGTAGGGTTGAAGGAAGAAGTAAATGGTTGAGGGTGGCCGAAGGACTTGTATTGGTGTTGAGGCACTCGTAGATGTACATCTCGGCCAGCTGCCCTCAATTCGCTCTGTGATGGGAGGGAAGGAGATCTACTTGACAAATCCTTCTATCCTCCTATAAAGGTAGATAATTGGTGAGTTGGGAGATAGTGCGAGCTCATGAAGGATGCTAATGTATTGTGCAATGTAAGACAGCCCGTTTATCCACCATCCAGACTGTATTCCGCGATTAACCCCCCCCCCCCCCAAAAAAAAACCTCACCATGCAAAACCCTTATAAGAAATAGGGATGTGTCGGCGGTCAACAAGCAGCGTCCGTTGTAGTCGATGGCCGAGCGGTACAATTCCAGCCTTGAAGGTTTGGAACGTATGTTGGCCTCACGGTCCTACATAATGCCATGGATAGCTTGTTTTTTTCTCTTCTCTATTCTCTTTGTGACGCTTTTTATCATATCGAATGGTTCTGGCTATTTTCGATGTCATACGATTACTTTACTGCAATATTTAGTGGTGGTTTACCTGGGCCAGCTCGCGAGTTCGAGTCGGCTTTTCTCTCTCCTGTTTTTAGTCTTGAACCTGAAGTGCCTGGGACGCCTGTAAGGGACGTGGCCTTCCTCACTCGGGAGACACCCTCACGGCCGGAACCTTTGTGGCTCAAGCCACCTGTAAATCATGCCCTCGTTCCCTTCATAGCCCATCAAGTCACAGAGTCTGTGAGAGTGAGCGAGTAAGTGCACTTTGGCCGGATGGTCATGAGTGCGGCTGCTCCTTGACTGACGCGAACCTGCCATTCAAAGTCTACAGATGCCTGGCGTCTCGCTGTAGCAATGTTTATGCCGATTCGAGTCACCTCCTTTTTCATTTTTCTTGGTTCCCTAATGAGCTTAACTTGATAGAGGATCGTTAATAGAAAACAATTATGCACCGTGAGGGGTTGAAATGTGGCGAGTGGTATGTAAGAAGGATCAGAATGTTTACATATACCAAGTGTGCGTGGCCAGTGAGTTGACAGGTATGTGAGCAGACCCAGGTATTTCAAGTTCATCTAAACTTCTTCTTTATCAGCTTGGGTATTGTCTACCTATCCAACATGCATGATGTATAAGCAAACATGTACACGGCCTCCTATATGCAATCGTCTCAGACTTCAAACTCAAGCGCGGTGTTCCGCAGAGTTCAAGTCTCCCAAATCGACGATATCCTCGTCCTCGGAATCCTTGTCCTCGTCGCCGCCGTCCAGCGGGACGGGAGCGAGACCCGGCTGCTGCGGCACCGGCGCGTAGTCGCCAGACTTGTCCGCCTCCTCGTCTTTGCGGCCGATGATGACGTTGCCGGCGACGAGCATGGCGGCGCCGACCCACCAGAGCGGCGGCAGCGACTCGGAGAAGATGGCGAAGCCGAGGATGGCGGTGATGACAAAGTTGGCAGACGTGTTCATGATGGACACCTGCGTGGTTGACTGGCCCTTGGCGAGTGCCTTTGTGAAGAGAGTCCACATCTGGAGGAGGGTGTAAGTTCAATGCACTTGCGGTGAGTAGAATAGGCTGGATAACTCACGATGCCGTTGAAGACCAGGTTGAGACCGAAAAAGACCTGTGACATGATTAGCAAGTTTGATGATAGCGATTGTCCAAATTTACTCACTGCTCGCATGACAACCTCAAAAGCGCCTTCAATGTCTTGGAGATGAAGAAAGTTGGAGATTGCTTGGGATATTGTCGTTGTAAGCTCAGTTGTGGTCCTGTATAGTTGTAAGTAAAGCATTCAACAGACGATAGCCCGAAAGTGTGCCCTGGACACTCGGAATGAGCGCATTTAATTCACAAAGCTATCAGGTATGAGATTATCTGCTCTGGTAACGTAAAATAGTGAAATTGGCTGTCAAATGGTGATGTCGACTCAACATGGTAAACCCTCTTGGCATCACACTCGACAACCCACCCGACTGAGCCGAAATGAGAAGACCAACTCACAACTTTGCAAACACGCCGTTGAAAGCAGCGCAGGCGCCGCTCGCAACGGCGAGAACAATCCACTGATTCCGTCGTGCCCAAGCCATGCTCTCAGTCGTTTGCTCGTCGTCGTTTTCTGCCTCGGTCGGCGGTTCGCTGTGTGCGTCGTCCTCGTGGCGTGGGAGCAACGGACTGCGCTCATTGTCCAGGGTCGTCGTCGTCGCGGCCGCCATGGTGGGTATCTGATCCTTTTGAGTGCGGCGTTCAGGGGCGGATGCTGCGGCGGGTTGTCGCTGGCGGAGCATGATGTGGAGAGGAAGAGGAAGGAGGGAGATTGGGTGTTGGTGTGAGTGATCCCTGCTACTGCTTGCTTGGATGAGATGGATGACGGCCTTGGTGGTGGGCTTGGCGATGGGGGATGAGGTAAGGCAGTTCGGTGCGCTCGCTGCTGCTGCGGTTTCGGTGTTGCGGCACTTCTGCAGATGCACCCACGTGCGAAAGAGAGTATGTGCGCGCAGAGGAAAGAGGAACGGGTTCGCGTGAGGGCGGCTTGGGAAAGTCTGACGGCGACTGCTGGCGTGTGTGTCTCAATGGTGCGGATGGGATTTTTTTGACAGAGTCCTCGAGAAGCCGCACGACTAGTGTAAGGGGAACATCCCAGCGCGTGCAAGTCCAGGGGCACGCGTCCTAGTCTTTCAGAGCCTCGGAAGGATTGTTTAGCTGTATGAATGCGGGTCTGACAGGATCTCTGTACTACTTGTACTTGAATTGGGCTGAATGAATGATGAACAAAGGAATTGGATTAGCATTAAAGTCGTTGGATGTCACAGGCCGTTGAGGCTGAAGGAGAAAAGAAGCCAGGTCTATTGTTGCCAGTTGCCAATTGCTAGGGAGGAAACCCGACGCGGAACCACTTCAGGTGAGATCCCCGTTTCCGGAAGATGGGGCCCCGGCTGGCTCAACAGGTACCCGGCATCGGCCTCTTCCCCCTCTGCAAAGTGGCTGGGGCTGTTGCTTCAACTTTGAAGCTCAAAAGTCGACACTCCTTGATACCTCTTTCCAAATCACGACGGTGCATGACTCTTTCTGCTGATGTTAATTGGAAGGTATCTGACATCGTCACTGGTGTAGTGGGGACAAAGTGAATAAGATGACGTATGGTGGGCAAGCGGTATTTGTCTACCCAACATAATACCCAGAATAGTACAATTATAACAACCAAATCGATGCATAGAGCCAAATTCTACAACCCAACTGTGACACATCCCAGGCTTGGACCTGAACTGCAGCGAGTCAATACCAAGATCACAAGTCGCAACACACTTCCAATGCAGACAGCCAGTCTATTGATGCGCTGACGCAAACCTATGAACGATGCTGTATAAACCTCTGGTGGTATCAAAATGGCAATCTTGAATGGACGAACTCCCGTATCCTTAAACCGTGCCATCGTAAGAGCATGAACCTGAACGCCTGTAATATGCAGCCGCTGGGGGCGCTCGTTGTCGTTCCCATCGCCCTTGTCCGCAAATGCGTCTCGTTCGTATATCCGAGTAAGGTGGTCGAGGCCGCCTCTGATTCTCTCTTATCGTCGTTGGCGCACACCCTTCAAGGGCCTTCGCCGGGCTTCTTGGCGTTGCAACTGACGATTTTGACCTTGTCTGCGGTCACAATCTGCCCACCATTATCCAGCTTGAACTGAACATTCTTGATAAGAAACGTCCAAACTTCGTCGCAAAATCGGTAGGTGCTCAGGCTTCCCTGTCATGCGCGTACCATTAGCCCTGCTTCAACATCTTCGTGCCAATGGGCGGCGCATCTTCTGCGCATTCCAACGACACTTCGCCCCCCAAGTGAATAAGTGTGGCGGGCTATGCGCCAGAGGCTGTCGAAGGGCATCGAGCCTCGGCGCAGAAGAGGGGGATAATCAATAAGCAGCACTTACCTTGAAAGTCAAACGAGCCTTGACGCTCTTCTGCAGGGCCTCTGTTATAGCCTGATCGAAGTTGGCCAAGATCTTCATCGCCAGCTGAGGGTGGATGCGCTCCTCGCTGATCAGATCGTCCAGCATATCTGTCAGCGCAAGGCCGATGCTGCGTTAAGCAAATGAGTTAGTCATCTGTAGCACATGTGTGTAGTAATTATTATGGATGGCGCAGTACCTGCTACGGCGGTAAAGCTCGTAGAACGATTGAGGTGCGGCGGCCATCTTGGAGATTTGTTCTGATCTCCTACGGGCGGGTGTCGTTTGAGGCGGTTGTGAGTGTGAAAGAGGCAAGGTTGTATTTATAGTGGCCTTGTTTGAGGATATCCTTGGATTCTGCTTATTCATCTATCGAAAGTGGGGCCGGCGTACTCTTGCCGCGAGGTGGCTGATGACACCCTGGTGCCTGCCACGCCGGTTGTCTCTCAGACCTTCTTGCCGTCTGCTATTCATTACCTAAGAGTCCACCAAGCCACATCATGTGACCTCCCCGATTCTGGATCCCTTGGCCTTACCTCAGATACCTCACCTCGCTCGCCTGGACTAGAGAGCTCGACGTAGCTGCAACGCCCCCCAAAGACCTCCGCCGTCAACCACAATCCACGACACAGGCAACGAAACGCACCGAATCGAGCACGATGAGTCTCACATATGGCCTGGGAGGCATTGGGAGCACCCTTCTCGTTGTGGGAGCTTGTACGAAACCCCATTCCCGCGATGGCAACGACGGTTCAGCGACGACAGACCAGCTAACACCTTTTAAACAGACATGCTCTTCACGGGATCGGGCGAGGCCTTTAACGTCGGCGAGTTCCTCGAATCTATCTCACCCTACGCATGGGCGGATACGGGCATTGCCCTTTGCATCGGTCTCTCCGTTGTAGGCGCGGCATGGTATAGATCAAAGCTCCCCAGCAATCGCTGCAGCGCGCGCGGCGCAGGACCATGTATAAATCTAACGGGCATACCAAATCTAGGGGTATCTTCATCACCGGCTCCTCCATCCTCGGCGCGGGCGTCAAGGCCCCGCGCGTGCGCACCAAGAACTTGATCTCCATCATTTTCTGCGAAGTCGTCGCCATCTACGGCGTCATCATGGCCATCGTCTTCTCCGCCCAGCTCGAGAACGTCCAGGGTGAGGTCCTGCACGACGGCAACAGCTACTACACTGGTTTCGCCCTCTTTTGGGCCGGTATCACCGTCGGAATGTGCAACCTCATCTGCGGTGTCGCTGTCGGCATCAACGGTAGTGGAGCCGCGTTGGCCGATGCCGCCGACCCTACACTGTATGTTTGGTCCAAGTGCGATAAGCGATCGTCTACATGTGCTAATCACTGGGTGCATAGCTTCGTCAAGATTCTCGTCGTCGAGATTTTCAGCTCTGTCCTCGGTCTTTTCGGTCTGATTGTTGGACTTCTTGTCTCTGGCAAGGCCAACGCTTTCGGCAAGGCATAAAGCAATAAGAAGCTGTCTACACAATTTGAAAGATTCAAAAGAGGAGGTTTATGACCGACGGCATAGCAACTGTCAACCTCGGACACGATGTACAGTGAAGCACTGCATTACACCAAGGTTTACTTGGGCGGGCGTTAATGGCATACAGGCAGGGCGAGGACATTTTGTATTGTACACTATCCAAGTATTATAGCTCCTCATCGAGATGATTTCTGCGCGTCACATACACTTGACCTCTAAATCTCCTAGGGCAAGATCTCGACCCTAGTCTTTCAAACGCAGCTCTTGTATCTGCAATGAGGAGAAGACAAAATGGGTTCTCCGTTAAGCTCCTTTCGAGCCTAGGGGAGCACGGCAAAGTAATTTGCTGAAGAGCCAAAGATATCATGCCAACACACATGCATTCTTACTGTTGGTATGATATGCTAAACGATTCAATACTCCACACGGATGTCTCCCATCATCAGAGCCTCTACCTTGGCCCCCTTCTTCAACGGCTCCTTGCCGGCAGGGAGAGCGAGGAGTGCATTCGCAGACTTCAAGCTGCCAACCTTTGAACTTCGCTGACCACCGGTACTGTTAGCAGCCAGAGACCCGTCCTTTCCGACAGTGACTATGGCGCGGTGGTATTCTGGCCGAGCCTTGTCAAGAGAAAAGTCGTGGCCCAGCGTCACGGGAACCTTGGGTAGGCCCGTGGGCTCGATGCCAGACAACTTGTGCAGCGCCGGCAGAACAAAGAGGTGAAAAGTCACCAGAGCCGACGCTGGGTTTCCCGGCAACGAGAAGATGGTCTTGGTCACCCGCTTCCCGAGCGTCGTCTTGACCGGCACCGTGGCAAAAGTAGTCGGCTTGCCAGGCTTCATCGCCACGCGGCCGAAATGGATCGTGCCGCCGAGGGCCCGCTCAATGGTCGGCTTGAGCAGGTCCAGCTCGCCCATGGAGACACCGCCCGTGGTGATGAGCAGGTCGCTGCGGCGTAGCCCTTCGCGCAAATTCTCCTCGAGGGCCTTTTCCTTGTCGCGCGCGATGCCGAGGTCGACGACCTCGAACCCCCACTGCCGGGCGGCGGACATGAGCGTGATGCGGTTCGTGTCGCGGACCTCGCCTAGGCGGAGGCCGCCGGGCCGGTCGGGCTCGATGATCTCGTCGCCCGTGGAGAGGATGCCGACGACGGGCCGCTTGTAGGGTTGGACTTGTGCTACGCCGACGGCGGCGAGGAGGCCGATTTCGCCGCCGACGCCGGAGATTTGTTCGCCCTTTTTGAGGATTGTGTCGTTTTCCCGGATGTCGCTGCCGACTTCGCGGATGTTCTCGCCGGGTTTGACGCCTTCGGCGAGGATCTCGACTTCTTTTTCTTCCTTTTCGTCCTTGGTTTTGGATTTTAGGATGGTGTCTTCGACCATGATGACTGAGGTGGCTCCCGGGGGTAAGGGAGCTCCTGTTGTGATTCTGGCGATTTCGCCTTCCTTGAGAGTTTTGGCCTCGCCGGGAGCGGCGTGGGATACTGCGGTGACGGGGAAGACGCCCTTCATGTTGCCGTCCTCGGGTACCACCACCGCGTACCCGTCCACGATGGATGCCCTAAAGGCCGGGACGCTTTCTCTGGCCGTGACGTCTTCCGCGAGGACCGAGTTGATGATCTTGACGTCGACTTTGGACGTCACGATCTCGGCGTCTGGGGTGAAGTCTTTGATTAGGCGTAGGGCATCGTCGACTTCCAGCATCGGGTACGGCGACTCTCTGTATCTGCGACTCGGGCCGAGACTCGGATCGTTGGAGAGGGGGTTTTCTTCAGGCTTGGTGTGTCTAACGAGGCCCCCGTGGCCATGGCCGTGGGTATGTGGGTGTCCGTGGTTGTGGCCGCCGTGACCGTGACCGTGATCATGGCTGTGGTGATCGTGAGAATGTGCCTGTCCTTTTGGGGTGGCTGCTCCTGCAGAGGCGCCTTGGATCCCCGCCTCGGACTCAAGCTTCTTCACTCCTCCCGAGTGTAGGATCCTGGAGTCAGCGCCGGCGGCCTGTACACATGCGTGCGGGAGCGTCTTCAGGATGGCTTGTAAGTTCTCCTTGGCGCCCTTGGGCGAGCCAGGGAGAGTGACGATGACGGTGCTGTTGCGTGTACCTGCCACCGGTCTTGACATCATTGCAACTATTGCTGTCAGTTTGGTGTTATCTCATGAGTATAAGACTCACTTACATGGAGTCACAGCCAGCGACGCAGCGAGCATTCCGTGAACCAGGCCGGGGGCGGTCCTATGGAGAAGGGTTGCGACAGCCTGTACTTGATGATCAATATCAACCGACTGCAGGAATACCTTGTTCATCGTACCTCGGGCGTGTTATCTGACACAGCGAATCCAGTTCCACCAGTCGTCAGGATCAAGTTGACTCCCTCCACGGGACCCAAGTCTGCCCAGAGCATGATTTGCCGTTGGATTTGGGGGACATGGTCTTGCACAATCTTAGTCTCGGTGACCTGCCATTTCCCACCACCCTCGTTTTCGATCACGTCTCGCAGGATAAGCTCCGACTTATCTGTCGAAGGGTCCTTTGATGCCGTCGTCGACACGATCAAGATAGCCACCTTGAGCGGGGTGTCAGTCATTGTGGAGGCTGCTTATAGGATATGCCGGAAACGCTGATGGGAAATGGTTTCCAAGACACAGTTTTCTTCAGGACAAATCGGAGTTCATCAGGCACATCACCTCACATAAACTAGGTATATGTCACTCCAGCGGGTTACCTAGCATGCTTGGTGACGTCGGGAGCCTGTGGTAGGAGGGAGCTATCGGAGGTGAAGCTCCCCCGCCTTAGTCAGCAAGTGGCATTCGCAACCCACATGGACCCGTTCTGACGGATCACACTTGCAGGATACGTACCTGCAGCTTGAACTTTTACAAGACTCAACTTTCAAGGCCGATTACCCTCCTGGACAACACGATTCTGAGCGCGCTAAGATGGTCCGAATCAAAGAGAGATATATTCTCGTCAATATTCTATACCCACCAGAAGATTCAAAACAAAAACTCGGTGTCCCAGATTTTGTGGTGATGCATCAACCAACGACGGGAAGTCTCACTCCTCAGTCTCTTCTCAAGGCGATACGAGCAGAGGTTGCGACTCTTTTCGGTGATTACGGTTCTGGTGCTATAGATGGAAATCTTATTGGTGAGTTCATGAAGCAGAATACGCCTCTTTGTGTTGAGCAGCATCTAACATTCACATAGTCAAGTATCTCTCTCAGGCAACGTCGACTTTCATCTTGAAAGTGAAGAGAGAGCACTACCGTCTGGTCTGGGCTGCTCTCACGTTTATGAATCGCGTGCCTCTTAAGAGCGGAGAGGGCAAGCCCTGCACCTTCAAGGTTGTCAGAGTCAGCGGAACCATTCGAAAGGCCGAGGAAGAAGCCATTCGACAAGCCAGACAGCTCGTGCTCGCCGCCAAAGATTCTTCCGCCGCTGCTGCTGGCGGCGCGTTGCCTCTTTTCTCAGAGTCTAGGGCCGAGGCCGAGGACGCGGTCATGTTCGACGCGTCGGACGTCTCTGACGAGGATGACATGGTTGAAGAAGACGGCTGAAGGGTATCATTTGTTCTTGCGCACTACTTTTATGCCACTATCTGCGGGTATCGTCATGTCGCCAAAGTCTGGATCGTAGTCGGCGTCCGGGGGCGGCGGGGGCGCTTGCCCCGCTTGCCCGGCGTTGGGATCGTCCTCTCGCATCTTGGCCTGCTCTTCCCATTCCTTTCGCTCCAGCTCGTCGTATTCCGCCTTGCGATCGACCCAGCGCTCCTGAATATCCTGTACCTCCATCATGGCCGACTCGTTGCGCATTGCCACCTGCCAGACGGAATCGTTTGCGCCTTCTGCGCTGCCAAAGGCGTATCCTCCCGCTCGGTCGATCACCCGGAGGAGATGCATCATGCTCTTCTTGTCCTCGACTGCTAGTACCTCGAACCGGACTAGGCTGTAACTCTCGATCATGTTCGACACGGCTTCGTTTAGCCTGCTGAACTTTTCGTTGCGCATTGCTGGCGATTCTTCTTCCAGATATGGGATCAGATACGAGAGGTCATCGACGTCGGTGTAGTATTCGAGGTTGAATGGGAGGTTGTCATAGGAGGCGACTTTATCGATCTTGGTCAGAACATTGATGTGTGGCATGTCCATTTGAAGCATGGCGCGAAGAGCCAGGAGCAGGTTGGAGATATAAAGCGAGGGTTGGGTCAAGCAAAATGAGTCGGAGAGATGTACGACGACGAGCTGGGAAAAGGTCAGCGAGGTCGGTCCGGCAGGGGGAAGCACCGTGGGCAGCTCACTCTAAAGCCAATCTTCTGCAGCCTGAAGAAGATGTTGCGCAGAGAGTTGTGGTGTGTGTATAGCTCGACCTGCCCCGGGCAGTCAAAGAGAATATAGTCTTCGCTGAACTCTTTCAAGCCTTCCTCTAGCCATTCCATGTTGTGCTCGAGCTCCTCCAGGGCATACAGAATGCCGCCATTGGGGCCCAGTTTGTCACTGGCCATAATATCTTCTAGCTTGACGAGGTCGCGAATGTCCAGAGCTTTCGGGTAGTTTGTGTGATCGTTTGCGGGATCGAGGTTGACTACAGAGCATGCACGACCGATGGCGCCCATGAACTGGTGCACTAGGCGCATGGTGTTAGCATCGCGGTTCGTAAAGTTGTGTGTTGGCAAGAGTGGCTCACTGCCATCGCAGTAGGTGCTCTTTCCAGAGCCCGGAGCGCCGAGGATGAGCTGCGCAAATGGCATCGCGTCTGCTGTTGGGTGACACTTTCAGAGCATGTGTCGTGTTACTGGGAAAGGTGTGTAACTTGGTGTCGATAGTTGGTCGTTGGAAATCGTGAATGGATCTTCAAAGGTGAAAGTTCCCCGGTGTACGTACGATTTACAGTGCAGACTACCTACCTAGTCGTGCCCCTCCATGTAGCATTACCAACACCACATTAAGGAAGGCCATGGGCGTTGGGAGGCGGGCTGGCGTCACATGCCGCACGTTCCGCCCTGGGACTTTTTTTGGCGGGGTGGGGCGGCACAAACTGGCTGACCGCCCGTGCCCATGTTCCTAGGTCTATCTTGCAAGCTTCTTCAAGCTCCCCCACAGCGCAAAAGCTCTTTTCTTTCCTCCCTTCTCTACTTTTTCCCTTTTCTCTCTCTCTCTCTCTCTCTCTCTCTCCAACCACCTTCCACCTCGGTCCTGCGTCTCAGCCACCAAACAACGGCTTAAAACCAGAGGCCCTCCCTTGCCCGCACCCTGCTAGCCTCAGGGTCGCACTGCACCATGTAATCTGTCTTTTTACCTGCTTGCTGCATTATGCTGCAACGCCCGTCTCAACACAATACACCGCAGCCATGTCGTCGTCGTCCGACATTTCGAATGCCGCCCACGCGGTGTCAGAAAGCTTGTTGGCCACAATGAAAGCTTCCCCAGAGGCCCTGCCCTCCGCGTTTACGCGTGCGCAAGAGGTCGTCGCAGCTCAGGGATCGTCTAGCTGGTTGGGGCTGTTCGGCCGGTTGATCCTCGCCATCCTGTCCTTGATCTCCTCGATCCTGTACTGGGCGATTCGAATCGTTACCATTACAATTCCTACTGTCCTGTTCACCTTGTTCTCGACAAGCTGGACTGTGACGATGAACGCTACTACTCTGTATGCGCTCCATCATTCCACCAGCCTGCCTTTAAGCTTCTGCTGACTTGACGCGCAGCATGGTAATCATGGTTGCCATCATATCCGCTGTCAGTTGGGTGGTGCGCTATCGCATCCTCAATATGTACTCTCGACTTCCCCCGGAGCCGCAGAGAAAAGAGCCTGACGTCGATTTGTTCCCCGAATCCCACGATGAGGGCAAGAAATCAGGCCTTTCGAGCTACCTGGACGAGTTCCTCAGTGCCATCAGAATCTTTGGCTACCTCGAGCGGCAGGTCTTCCACGAGTTGACCCGGAGCATGCAGACTCGCAAGCTCATCGCTGGCGAGACCTTCAACCTGGAAGAGGAGAAGGGATTCTGCATTGTCGTCGACGGGCTAGTGGAAATCTTTGTCAAATCTGGCCGAAATGCTAGAGCCATGGATCCAGACCCTTGCGACAGCTTCGGGGGAGATTCTGCCTATCCTGGAGAAGACGACGACATGTCGTCAGCCCCGCAGCAGAGATACCAACTGCTTACGGAGGTTCGGAATGGAGCTCCCATGTCGTCCCTATTCTCCATCATGTCATTGTTCACGGAAGACGTCAAGCTTCGGTCTACAGATGACGACACCCCGGAGCCCACTTCAGGCAGTGCTGGGTTGAGAACCTCACCATTCCCACGCACCGCAGGCTTCCGCCGCATGCCGTCAGACCCCGCCAGTCCTTTCCCAGCAACACCCGAGTTCCCGGAGATCCCGGAGGAAAGGACTGGAGTCAGGATCGAGGAACCTCCCAAACGGGCGGCCACACCCAATTTGCCCGGCAGCGCAAGGATCCCGCCCATCTCGCTTGACAGCAGTGGAAGTGTTCCTGGGAGTGCTCGGCAGCCAAAGCGTCCTCAGCTTCAGAGTCGAGCAACTTCTGGCTCAGCTCACCCGGACATTATTGCACGGGCAACGGTAGACACGACTATTGCTATTATCCCAGCGAGTGCTTTCCGCCGGCTCACCAAGGTCTATCCCAAGGCCACTTCCCACATCGTCCAAGTCATTCTCTCTCGTTTTCAGAGAGTAACGTTGGCGACGGCTTACAACTACCTGGGGCTCACTGGCGAAGTCTTGCAGACGGAGAAGAACATGCTTTCCTTCACCTCGTGTCAATTGCCCAATATGCTCAGAGGCGATGCCTTGCAGCGTTTGAAGGAGAAGTTCGATCGGGAGCGAGAGAGAGTTGGCGGCGAATCAGAGAGCAAAGGCATTGCGCTTCACAATGCTAATGCGCATCGTCGGCGCAAGTCAACCACAACCCTCCGCAAGGATGCCATGATGCACTCCATGACTACCAAGGAGAGATCGTTTTCCCAGGTTGCTACAACGATCGGACCGCCGAGGGAGAGGGCCTCCACTCAGACAAGTCCCGGTGATCTCCTGGCCAACATCCAGTCTGCCCGGCATGTCGGCCACCGGCCATCAGGTTCAGCCAGCGTTCATCTGGATCAAGTCGCTGACGCTCTCCGTCATGAGGGGACTAGCCCGCTTGCCCAGCGAGCCTTCAATCCGTTCACGACCGAGAGGCAGTCCCGAGCCTCGATTGACGGCCGAGAATCGCTGGATGAGGACAACCTTTTCCGTCAGTCAATCCTCGAATGTATGTTCAAGGCGATCGGTCTGAGCAGCAATGGAAGTGTCTCCCGCGAGGCCGAGTCCGTAGAAGGATCCCCACGGCTCTTCTCCTACGACCAGAGGCGATCGAGACCTGGCCTAGGCAACAACGCTTTCGGTCTCATGGGCCCTTTCGATGCTTCTGGTGATGGCGACACGGAGTCTATGACCTCTGGAGGCTTCACATTGAACACGCCGCCGAATGCTCACATCCTCGCAAGCGATATGAAGGATGACGTGGAGATTGTGTTCTTCCCCAAGGGTTCCGTTTTGGTCGAGCAAGGCGAGCGCAATCCAGGCCTCTACTACGTCGTTGACGGCTTCCTCGACATCTGCACTTCGAAGGAGGACACATCGGCGGACATTTTGCAGTCCTCAAGTAGGACGACGCTGCATACTGATCACATGGGTATGGATGGGTCTCCAGCACATCCGCCTGATCACCTCGATGCAAAGAAGAAGCAGCCCTATCGTCGCAGTGTGTCACTCATCAAGCCAGGTGGTCTTGCCGGGTACGTGGGCACGGTGTCGTCATATCGATCGTTCATCGATGTCGTGGCCAAGACGGACGTCTATGTTGGCTTCTTGCCTCGGTCTGCTCTCGAGAGAATCGTCGACCGGTATCCCATTGTACTTCTTACCATGGCCAAGCGACTGACGAGCTTGCTCCCACGTCTCATCATGCACATTGACTTTGCCCTTGACTGGGAGCAAGTTGACGCTGGCCAAGTGCTTTTCCATGAGGGTGAAGAGAGCGAAGCTATTCACATTGTCCTCAACGGTCGACTTCGTCTCGTACAGGACAGGAAGGATGGCGGTGTTAGCGTGCGGGCTGAGTTCGGCCAGGGCGAGAGTGTGGGTGAACTCGAAGTCTTGACGGAGTCTGTGAGACCAGGCACACTCCATGCCATCCGCCAGACTGAGTTGGTCAAGTTCCCACGCACACTCTTCAACAGTCTTGCCCAGGAACACCCGAACATCACGATCAAGATTTCCAAGATCATTGCGTCGCGGATGAGGAACCTGGTCGATGACCCCTCACAGCTTCTCTCCAAGGAGGCTGGCAACACCAACACAATCACCAAAGGCTCTTCGTCGCTCAACTTGAGGACCGTTGCGATCTTGCCAGTGACTTCTGGTGTTCCTGTGGTTGAGTTTGGCAATCGGTTGATGAACGCTTTGGCTCAGGTTGGCCCTGCAAACGGTGCCACCTCCCTCAACCAGTCTGCCATTCTCAACCACCTCGGCAAGCATGCTTTCAACAAGATGGGAAAGCTGAAGCTGTCCCAATACTTGGCCGACCTGGAGGAGAAGTATGGTCTCGTAGTCTACGTCGCAGGTAAGATCTCTCTCACTATTACTCTATTCACCTACACTGTCCTTTTTATGATGAACAAACACCGTTTGCGGAGGCAAAAGCCGTTGATGGCCAAACATACTCTAATTTTTTCCTGATTGGACTACCTATCTCATGATTGTTGATGACACTTTGCTGTTTCAAAACCGATGCTAACTCTGCATCAGATACCAATGTCAACTCTCCGTGGACTCAGACATGCATCACTCAGGCTGATTGCATCCTCCTCGTTGGTCTTGCGGAAGGCTCTCCGGAGATTGGTGAATACGAGCGTTTCATGTTGGGAATGAAATCGACTGCGAGGAAGCTTCTCGTTCTGCTCCATTCTGAGAGGTACTCCCAGTCGGGATTGACTCGAGCCTGGCTGAGGAATCGTATGTGGATCAATGGCGGACACTACCATGTCCAGATGGCTCTCGGGGCAAACATCATGCCTGCGCATCCGCCGTCAAAGCGAACCAGCACGTTGAAGGAGAGGGTTCAGATCATCCAGGCGGAGATTCAGAAGTACACTTCGAGGAAGGTTAGGCACAGTCCTTTCTACTCTCCAGATGCACCTTACAAGGGCGACTTTCACCGTCTAGCGAGACGCCTATGCGGCAAGTCAGTTGGACTCGTTCTGGGTGGTGGCGGCGCAAGAGGCATCACCCAAATCGGCATCATCCAGGCCATGGAAGAGTCTGGCATCCCCATTGACGTTGTCGGCGGAACCTCAATCGGCGCGTTCATTGGCGCCCTCTACGCTCGTCATGCCGATGTTGTCCCCATCTTTGGTCTCGCCAAGAAGTTTTCGGGTCGCATGGCCAGCATGTGGCGTTTCGCTCTCGATCTCACATACCCGACTGCCTCTTACACCACTGGACATGAGTTCAACCGGGGCATCTTCAAGACATTTGGCAAAACTCAGATTGAAGACTTTTGGCTTGAGTACTATTGCAACACGACAAACATCAGCAAGAGTCGAATCGAATACCACACGAGTGGCTATGCATGGAGATATATCCGAGCTTCGATGTCACTGGCTGGCTTGCTCCCACCACTCTGCGATGAGGGCAGCATGCTTTTGGATGGTGGCTACATTGATAATCTGACTGTCTCTCATATGAAGAGGTTGGGTGTGGACACCATCTTCTCGGTTGATGTTGGGTCACTGGACGACGATACTCCGCAGGCGTATGGTGATTCGCTGTCGGGAGTGTGGGCATTCTGGAATAGGTGGAACCCGTTCTCGGGCACAGCCAACCCGCCGACATTGGCCGAAATCCAGGCTAGACTTGCTTACGTGTCTAGCGTTGACGCTCTGGAACGGGCGAAGACGATGCCAGGCTGCTTCTACATGCGGCCTCCGATTGATGATTATGGCACGCTCGATTTTGGCAAGTTTGATGAGCTTTATCAAATGGGATACAAATACGGGCAGGAGTATTTGCAGAAACTTAGAGATGACGGCTCGTTGCCCTTTATGGAAGAGACGGAAGCAAAGAAGGCAATGCGGAGGACCATGGCACCAAGGAGAGCCAGCATCTAGTAGATTCTCAGACCTTAGACATGATTTGCCTACACGAGGAGCACGAATGATACCACCTTTGCACTGCCACAACGGACCAACATATTTCCCTTTGTGTAGTGTGCCTCCAGGCAAATGTCTGTTCATTCCCGCGCCTGGCGGTGACGGCGTCAACCGCTTGTCGATGATGTTCGGCTTTAGACCAGGAGGGCAAACCCTGCTAGGCCTTGTGGCTAAGACAGGATCTGTTCCCCGAGGGTGTGTGGGAGAGGAGGGTGCCGTGGGTGCTCGGATAAGAGGACACGACTCACGACTCACGACTCACAAGTGCACGATGGCACGATGGCACGATGGTCTAATGGTGGATTTTTTAGAGAGGCATCTGGGCTCTCGAGCTGTGGCCTGTGGGAGCTGTGCTGCAACTGGTGATGCTGGGCCTCGTTTTGGGTGGAGCCATTTTCGTTTTGGAGAATGTGAGGCCCGGGAGCTATGGCCAGATCGAGAACCTTTTGACGTCAACGGCTTGGCGGGGGGTTTCTGTGGTGCTGTGGGAATTGTCTGGGCCAGTCCACAAATAATCGTAGCAACACAGCAGAGCACCTGAGAGTGGGGAGCATTTCGGGGCCGGACCCATGACATCATGCAGGCACGGTGACGACAAGCTTTCGAGCTCGAGCCCAATGGGCAAGCACGGCAAGCTCCCCCACATAGGCTTCCCGGCAGTCGAACGAGCCACCAGGCATGGATGACAGAAATGTCTGGCTTGCTTCAGCTAGTGGGTGCGGGGGAATGCCGGGCTGTCTCATGGCCCAGCGGTGAAGGGGGGCGGCCGGGGGGGCGGCCGGGGGGGCGGCCGGGGCTGGGTGTTTGTTAGTGTTGGGTATTAAATTTCTAGAGGTGCCCAGCTTTGTTTCTGGCGCTTGTCATTTCATACCCAAGATATTCACTTGTGTAGTTCTATTTCCCCTTGCCAGCCACAAATTCGATCCAGATCCAGATCCATCCCCGATTGCCGTTGAAAAGTGCAACGCCGTCAGAAGTCTCCCCTGCATATTTTGTCTCAATCCAGCACCTACCCCCCTCCTCGACAAGGGCCTGAACGCCATCTGCAATCCTTTGGAGATATATAATCCCACGTACCGCTGCAACTTTTTTGCACTTTGACGCCGCTTTTTGAAGGGAACGCCAAAAACCAAACCTTTATCACGCTTTTACCGTCGAGACGGATACCAAGAGCACTAGAAACCAAGCAGCTGTTTTAGACGACGAACGTTGAACAACAATCTTTGACGAGGCCTACACCGAAACATACAACAAGCCTCTGTTTACCTTTCAATTACGTTCAACACACACATATCCCATCTCAATATTTGGAAACTATAAACGAACACCAAAGTCAAACTGAAAAGAGCATACACACTACACACATATACACACATTCAAAATGGTGAAGCCGGGCAAGCTCCTCCCTCCCGATCCAAGACCATGGAAAGCGGAACCTGAAAAACGCAAAGAACGCAAAGAATTCGAAAAGGAAGTCGCAGGCTTCGACTGGGGCCAGGCCATCGCCCTCGGTCTCATTGGCGCAACGGTCGCTTTCGGGATCGACAAGACCCTCAAGCGCACGGAAGAAAAGCACGAAGAGGAAGATAGGCGAGAGGAAAGACGGAGGCAGAGGGAGAGACAGTCTCGATCCCGCCCGCCGAGGAGTAGTCGCAGCCAGGCTGGGTACGACAGGGACAGGTATAGAGGTGGATACGACGACGACAGAGATGACAGGAGCGACGACGGGCGGAGTTTTCGGGATGATCGGAGCGATCGGGATTACTATGATCCTGATTGGCGTGAGGGGGAGTATAAGTCCGTGAGGGACTATGCGCCGCCGCCGAGCGATGTCTCTGAAGAGAGGGCGGCGAGGGCGGTGAGGGAGGAGAGTGTTAGTGTGAGGGGTGTTGGGGGGAGGGAGTATGTTAGGGCTATGGACCAGTTTGAGAGGGATTATGGGTATGGAGACAGGCGGCCTAGGTATGGTGAGAGGAGACGAAGTCGGAGTATTCCTGTGTCGAGGTCGAGGGAGTATTATTCAAATTGGTGAGAACGCGACGCAGGCGTGGGGAGCGTCGTCGGCGTACCCCTGGTTCGGATGGATGAAGAACGGTTTGTCTGACATCCGACATTACGTTATTAAACGACATTATGAGAATGATTATGATTAGCATGGAATTGGGTGGGGATGGGTTTGGCATATGGGAGAAAGATCGAAAACATCTACAGCTATACTGTCCCCTTCCAAATAAGGGGTATAGTTCCTATGTTAGAGCGAAGCATTTACATGGTTTAGACGTTTTTACGTCATTTATCTTTTGAACAAATCTCTCGTTCTGATTTCGATCATATGTACCTGCAGCTCCAACGATGCTTTGCATTTGACGACAATGCGGTGGATGGTGCCATCCTTTCGTTCACTTGCTTTTATCGTATATGGATCATTGTCAATTGAGTGACTAGGTAACTACAAGATGACGAGATTCGCCTTGAATGATTGAATTATTTCTGCGCATGGAATATCAGGCCACCGCAAGGAGTCTGTACAAGAGTCATGATGATGCGGCTTTCAAGATCAAAACTGAACGCTGGGCTCGAAGACTTTGGCAGACAAAGACAACATTCCCCCCAGTACACAGCAGTCCTCATCGGTCACTCAAATGGCTGTGAGTTCAAACATGTAGACTCATATCCTACCAGGTCTATTCTTTCGATGCATTTCTACAGAAAGACGAAAAGAAAGCCTACTGCCCCTCGGCAAGCGCCTTCTCAGTAGCCGCCACAATGATATCAAACGCCTTCTTCACATGCTCCTCCTCAATAACCTGGCTGCTGCCCGTACACATGCGAATTCCATACAACCCATGAAGCGTCGTCGGCGTGAGGTAAATCACCCCCTCCCCATTCACGCTCTCCAACACCGCCTCCGTAACCTTGTTGCTCCGCTCTCTGTCCCCCCCAGCCCCCTTCGCCTTGCACGTAAACACAACAAGAGCATACCTAGGCCCCGTCACAATCTCAAACAAATCCCCCCTCCCCGCCACCATCTCGGCAAACCTCTCCCCGAGCCGAATGCCCCTCTCCAAGTGCTTCCGGATCCCGCTCGCCCCGTACGCCCGCAGCACGAACCACAGCTTCAGGCTGCGGAATCGCCGGCCGAGCGGGATCTGCCAGTCGCGGTAGTCCGTCACCAGCCCGGCCTCGGAGAATTGGTTACGCAGGTAGGCCGGCTTGATGCTCAGCGACTCGACGAGCCAGGCGCGGTCGCGCACCCAGAGGGCGGAGCAGTCAAAGTTTGTGAGCATCCACTTGTGCGGGTTCACGTTGAAGGAGTGGAAGGCCGTGAAAGGGGCGGTGAGGTGTGCGTTTTGGGGGAGCATGAGGGCTGAGCCGGCGTAGGCTGCGTCGACGTGGACCCAGATGCTATCCTGTTCGTCAGAAGCGAGAGCGTCTTTGATGCCCGGGAAATCGTCAACGGCGCAGGTGTCGGTTGTGCCGAGGGTCGCGGTGAGGTAGAACGGCTCGAGACCCTTTGCGCGGAGGGCGGCGACGGTGGAGGCGAGGGCGGGGCCGGACATTGCGTAGCCTGTTTCTGCCGGGGCCGGGACGGTAGCGAAGCGGACGCCGAGGATCTGTGCGGCTTTTTTCGTGGACGAGTGCGCCATCTCGCTGCCGAGGGCGACGAGCTTGGAACGCAGACGCCAGGTCTCTTCTTCCTTTTCCTCCGAGTCGGCGGGCAGGTGGGCGGTGCGGGCGCGGAGGAATTTATCGCGGGCGGCGACCATGACGGTGAGGATGGCTTCCGAGGCGGTGCCGTGGAGGACGCCGCCGCCGCGGGTGGGCGCGGTGGAGAGGTATGCGGCCGGTAGGTTGAGGAGCTGTGCCAGCCAGTCGAGGACGATTGTCTCGAGCTCGGTGACGGCGGGGGAGCAGATCCAGTTGAAGTGGGCGCCGTTGAAGGCGTTTGAGTAGAGCTCGGCGAGCATGGCCGGGTAGGAGGAGGAGCAGGGGAAGAAGGCGTGGAAGGAAGGGGATTGCCAGTGGGTTATGCCGGGGACGATGTGGGATTGGAGGTCGGCGTGGATGGATTGCCATGATTCCGGGTCCTCGGGGGCGGATTCGGGGAGGAGGGGGCGGAGGTAGCCTGGGGTTACCGAGGGGAGGACTTTTGGTTGGGAGGTGATTGTGTCGTAGTATTTTGTGACTATGGGGGTATATCGTTAGCGATGGAGGGCATCGTGAAGTGAGGTCATGTGAGGCAGGACAGAGTGAGGGTGAGAAGGATGGTGATGAGATTCATGAGAGTGTGATGAGAGACTTACTGTCGTCTATGGCCTCTGCGGCCGCGGTGCGGAATTCGGATGAGTCCATCTTGAAGAAGGTATGCTGCTTGATATCCAAGCGCTGAATCTAATGCTCTAAATCCGGAGCCTGGCTGCGTGCTTGAAGGTCAGTCTGGTCCGTCTTATAAGGAAGATATCTCGAGTCTCATGCCACCTTTCAAGCAGTATGAGAGACGCACACATGAGATGAAGTCAATTGTGTGTGGACGTAGGTAGTAACAGCCCAGCCAATCAAGCGCAGCTAACCGACTAGGGTCGGCTGTTCATAGACGGGTATCTGTATCTCTACTCCACCGTGCCCGCCCATCACATCATTATCCGATTTCCTAATTCCCCGATTCTTGGAAGGTGGATTCGGAATAGAGAGCTATCATAGGTCAAAAGCATTGAAAGCTGTTCGTCGTGGGTACGGAGTACTCGAACTAATCGTCGACCAGCCGCGCGGGGCGGCTCAGCGCGGGGTTGTTCGCTCGGAATACCGGCCGGAATGGCCTCGGAACGCTCCGACTTTACTGAAAACCAGCCCAATGGGTCTCGTTCCTTGTTCAAAGGGCGCTCCGTTGACATGAGAATGTCGAAAAAGCGTTTTAGACCCTCCGCCCTAAAGTGACATGAGCGTCGTACTTGAGTTTACATCCGGGCCCCCTGATCCCGGCACTAAGGGCGAGTCCGAGATCTAGTATCTGATATTACATGCCATGTGAGAATCACTAAAGTCAGCAGCCACCGGATCCACCTTGACCAGAAGTTTGACCACTTTGACGGTTCATCTTTTTCTGTGACTTATGCTCCATTTGCATTTGGGTCCTGGAAGCATTCAGAAGCTGTCACAAATCTCCCCGAAATTGATCAAGTCATCAATATGTGACCTCTAAAAAGTGGCTTTGGATTGAAAACCGTCAATCAACATGGCATCTACACTGACACTGAACTCCTCAATCGCACTCAAACATCTTTGTAGTGCTCACGTTGATCCGGCTCCAGCTCCTCCTATTCACAAGGCAGTCCCAAAATGTCATGGGCCAGTAAACGTGGTAAAGCCACCACGCCGGCACCGGATCCCACAGCTCAAACGTCCCATCCTTCCAGAATAGGACGTGCTTGACAAACGTCTTTACAGACAGCCAGTACGCCGCAATCGATATCCGGAAGAGCAACAGCCTCGCCGTGGGGAGCAGCAGCAGCGTGAAGAGGTCATGCCCGATCCAGTAGTACTTGGCCGGCCTCCTCGGCGTCACCACATCAATCTCCGAGCCGCTGCCACTAGAATTTTCCGTCTCATCTAGAACACTCAGATACTGCTCCACCAGATCCGGCGTATCCCCAAACAACGCAACAGCGGTATGCGCCCGCGGATTACACTCAATCGGATACAGCTTGAGCTGCTCAGGCTTACACCCATCCGCCGCCGCCGCAGCAACATCCTCATGGCTGACCATGAAATCGAAACTCAAGTGCCCCGTATACACCTCCCCAAACGACGCTGCCTGCTTCCTCGTAAACTCGAGCATCGCCCTCGACAGCGCCGACGCAGCCGGCAGCGCGACGTAGTGCATCAGCAGCTCCGCCGAGCGGCACGCCACAAAGGCCCTCACCTGCCCGCGGACCACGAGCGCGTGCGTGCAAAACTCGTCGCCGTCGATGTACTCCTGCAGCAGCCAGGGTTCCTTGTCCGACAGGCCCAGCCACTCAAGGCGGTAGACGTGGTCGTACGTCTGCTTCTCCGTCGGCAGCGGCAGCAGCGTCATGTCGCCGCGGCCGCGGTCGTTGACGCCCACCGACTTGGCGATGAAGCGCGGTTTCTTGGTTTTGGCGGTGGACGCGGGATCGTCGTCATCGTATGACAAGCTCCCCGACGCCTCCTCGAGCGCGGCTAGCATCTCGTGGCGGCTCGTGACGAGGTATGACTCTGGTACGCGCAGGCCTGTCTCGCGCGTGTGGTCCATGAAGGAATCCTTCTCGTGCAGAATCCGGGTGCGCGCGACGTCGGGCTGCACGGCACGGCACCGCGTGCGGGCCTCGACGACCTCCTTGACGACGCCGTCTTCCACGGCCGAGCCGACGCCTGAGCAGCTGACCCAGAGGTCGACCTTTTCCCGCTCGACGATTCGCAGCACCGAGTCGAGGTACGGGTCGGCACCGCCTCCGGCTCGGCCGGGTTTCTGGAGGACGTGGTAGGCGTCGAGGGCAACGGACCGGCTGCCGCAGGCGTAAGGGGAGAAGTCGGCGCCCACGACGCGGTGGCCTGCTTGGTGGAACAGTCGTGCAAGGGTGAGGCCCTTTGTCATACCGACGCCGGTGACGAGGATGGTGCGCCGCTGTTGCTGTTGGCGGTCTGTGGCGGCGGCGGGATCGAAGGCCTGGCCGGGACGCAGGAAGCGCTGCCACGCATGGCTCAGGACAAGGATTATCGCGGTGAAGGGTATGAAGGCGAGGCTGATGGCGATGAGGACTAGGTCCTTGAGGATCTGGCCAAAGGGGTCGGCCGAGGTGGCTGACATGGCCGCGGTGTTTGCTACCGGTTCTCCTTTAGATGAATTATTGCTTCACTGGAAGGAGATTGGTATCAAAAGAAGAGAGGGAATTGTAGGTAGGTAGGTAGCTGAGACCGAAGATGAGACGAAGAGTTCGCTGCGTGGTGCCGTCGTAAGTTTGGAAGAGCAGCAAGCAACGACATCCAATTGGGACGGGGAAACCAGTTCGGTCGGACAGAGCAAAGATGGAAAGGGATGAAACAACCTTTTCTAAGCTGCGTGTCCCAATCTTCGTCCCAGGATACACAGCGCGGCTGAGGAATGCTGAATTGCAAAAAAGTGTGGGAGGCATGAAAGCTTCTCTCTCTCACACACATTCACGCGAAAGTACGCGCGCATATCATCATGACCCTTTCCCGAAGGCTCCGACGCACCGCCCACTTGGGTTGATACAAGTAAACCTTACGTCATGGACTGCTGCAGCAATTGGCGCACCGCGCACAATTCAAATAGGTAGGTAGGTAGGTAATCCCCTCACCTCGTCGTACCTTGGCTTCAGTTAGAATACGCGCCAAAGTGATGTCTCACTGCGTCGAGTTATTGGCATGTTGTGTGAGCGACGGACGGGTGCTACAGCTCCTTCTTCCAACCGGAACGGGCCGGAAGGGAGGGGGAACCTGATGTCGCGGGCTCTTAACGCTATTTCGAAAAGTCAACGAGTGGGGGTGGCTCTCTTGTCTTAGCGAATTGCCACCCTGGCTGAGAATACGCGCAAGTGTACCATGACAAAGCTGTGGCTTGACTATCAGCGTCGGACAGAGTTCTGGCTTTGCAGGCTAGTTGGTGAAATGTGTGTGGTTGGAGATGGGAGGATGCCCGGATCATCGACTGCCTCTGCAGGGAACAATGAAGTCAAATCCCCACAGAAACTTGGGGAGCCAAGACTTCACCCCATCCTCGCATATTATGCATATCTACATATCAATAATTGTCCGTATAGTGGGAACGAATATTCTTATAAACGACAAAATAACAGTGACCAACTGTCATACTGCGAGCTTCATTCCTCTCTTTTAAGCAGGCCTATTATCATGAATGAAGGCCGACAGGAAACCAACAAAGAATGGATGAACTGACAAGTGATCATGCAAAGAAGGGAAACGGAAGAAGAAGAACATGATTATAAACCATCCGAACCCGAACATACTCTCAAAAGTTACAGTTGCATCGGAGTCGTCTCTTCACCCAAAAAAGCTTTGCCTGACAGCATAGGAACAAGGGGGGAAACAACCCGCGATGGTCTCCAATTTCAATTTCCCCCGCATAACAACCAACCATGGAACCTCAACCAACCAACCCATTCCCCCCGAACGACCTCCCTCGGGCAATTTAAAGCGGAAGCGATCAGCATTGCGCCAGAAATAACTTTCTTTTCTACACTACCGGCTCACAGCCCCCGAATGAACTCACGGGGGATCGTTCCGGGAGATCTCCTTTTTTGACTTTTGAGAGTTTTGCATCAACTCCCAATTTAAACTCCCGCGCCGATATCACCGTGGAGACCCCCTTGGCGCTCAGTCCTTCTAGAATCTCTTTTCTTTGAGATCCATGGAAGCCTAGCTCAGGGGAATTCCCTAGATGCTGTGGATCCATGGAGGGCGGCCTCGACGGAGTAGTTTTGGTGCAATTATGAGTCTCACAGAATGGGCAGTCATTGAGTAGTGTGGATGTATGTGGGGGAAGATCATGTATGTATTATCCAACACGCCTCTGCCTCAGCATATTCGCTTGCTCCCGCGCAAGCCTAACCTAAAGACTATCCAAAAGAAAACTATGGTATCATTACTCATTAGAGTCATTATTAACAATAAGCAAACCGCTCCCATGCGCCGCCCGAGCTGGTCTTGTCTTACTCAGCCCAAGGCATCAAAGGAGTGTCCGTGTGTTCTGAGGGGTATCCCGTTCTCGATCAAGTCTAATCCGTTCGTTGCCGTTTCCCCCTGCGCCCAATTAAAAAGAACGAGTGTTTGCAGAGCGGCCATGTGAAGAAAGTAAAAATATCCAACGCCTGCCCGATGATGGTGATGATCCAAAGGTCTGAGAACTATAAATCTCTAAAAGGTCTTTCCTCTCACGCGACGGCAATGGCGGCAACGATGGAGTCGAGTGCCGAGCTGTGAGTCGGCCCGGAAACGCCTTGCACAGGGCCCGACCAGACGACACCCATCTTGCCAGCCGAGTCGCGGTTGGTATTCCAGTTGCTGTCGGCGTTCTTGGTGATAAAGGTCTTGAAGTCGTTGTTGGGCGCTGCGGCGTGCAGGTATCGCAAGTTGCGGACAAAGATGCCCTTGAATTGGTTGCCGTCAGAGCCGCAGTTGGGCTCGCAAGTGTCGTGCAGGATACCGTTGTCATCGGACAGCTGCTTGATGGCCGCCTTGGCAATGTTAGTGGCGTCTGTCAGGACCGACTTGTCGCCATTAGCCTTGCTGAGCTCGACAAGACCGCCGAGAACGACACCTTGGTTGTAAGACCACACGTTGGCGCCATTGTTCTTGCAGTTGCTGTCCAGGCCGTCGTTGATGGTGCCATCGTCGTTGATCATGCCGGTGGCCTTGAACCAGGTCCACTGATCAGTCGCGATCTTGAGGTAGCTGGCCTTATCACCCGAGATGCGGTTGGCCAGCGAGGCGGCGACGCTGAGGTAGAGCTCGTTGGCAATGGCGTTGACATACTTGCGGTCCTTGCTCCAGTAGATTCCGCCATTGCAGTTAGTACCACCGCCGGTCTTCATATCGGCAAAGATGCGCACGGCCATATCGAGGTAGTCTTGGGTCTGAGTAAGATCGTAGGCGCGGATCAGGCCGAGCGCCCACCAGCCTTCGTCGTCATAAAACTCGTTGATGAAGTTGGGGAAGCCCTGAGCGCTGAATTGACGACCTTCGATGGGTAGTGGGACGTCACGCTTGGTGATGGCGTACGAGGTCGTGACAAGACCAGCCGCGTTGATAGACTTGGAAGCAGATGCTGTGGCCTTCTGAGCCTGTTGGAAGGTGTTCATGAGGATACCTCCGATGTTGAGCTCGTTAGCAGCATCCCGGTTTAGGTCGGCGAAGTCGGCGAGAGTTGTAAAGGCGTTGGCGCTGTTCCACCAGGCGTTGTCCCAAAGACCGGAGCCAACGTCGTACCAGGTCGTCTCGAGCGTGCGGATGGCGGCCACGGCATTATTGGTGTATGAGGTGGCGTCCGCTCTTTGGGCAATAGGACGAGTGGACATGAGAAAGACTGCCCGGGCTGCGAGGCCTCCAACGTTGGCGACCATGTTGAAGATTATTAAGTATAAGGAGTTGAGTAAGGAGGTGGGACAGTTCGTCTGGTCTTCTCTGTTCGAGGTAAAAAAGTGAGAAGAAGAGTAGTGGAGGAGGATATATGTATTAGCTGCGATGGCGATGGCGAGGGCAAGGAGAGGCCACTTTCGGTAGAGGAGGGCCGGGATGTTAAATATATCAGGAGCGGGCGAGGGTTCCAGTCCATGTGCCCCTTGTCCAGGTTTCCTCCGAACTGGTGGACCGACACAGCAGTAATGGAGGTGGTGGGAAGAAGGCGGGTACGGACAAGGCGATGAGGAGGGACGGTAATGCTGATCCTGGACGGCAATCTTGGTAGCAGGGCTCCGAAGAAGTGGAAAGCTGGGGCGGTGGCAGCAGCAGCAGGAATGGAAGCATGAAGCTGACGGGTTGGAAGAAGCGGAGATGTCGTCAATGTCAAGATCAGCGTCAAGGTAGGAGGAAGAGGAAGAGGAAGGAAAGGATAAGCAGGAGCTGGCGCAGGCGCAGCTTTTGCCAGCGTCCTGATCCTGCGATGACAGCGCCATGATCCTCTTTGCGTGTGTCTTTACTCGCAGCCTGGAAACAAGCACAAAACAAAACAAGGCTTCATCTGATGTTGAGATCAGGAGCTGGCTTCTCGTCGAGCCAGCACATCGCACGCGGCTGCGCCCTGACAGGGGCCACCCGGCAAAGAAGTACGAAGATCACAGTCAGGGGTCGGACTGTGGTGCCAGTTGGTGTATCTGGAAGGAGGAACCAAGGAACATGGGATGAGATGATGACCAGAGAGGCAAAGCGCGAAGAGTCCAAAGTACGAAGTATCCGTACTCAGTACCAAAGGGCAAAGGGAAGAAGAGCAAACTCGGAGTACAGATAGCAAAAGGGGCAAGACAAGACAAGGGCGTTTGAACAGCGGTTTCTTGGAGGGCGGGCGGGTCGGTAAGTGCTGTCGTTCATTGGGAGATATTCGAATGGGACGAGGGTCTACCACCAGCTCGGGAACTCTTTGGGAGTCTTGGTTGCTTGGGAGTTGTTGGAGTCTTTTGGGGAGGGGAGCTTGAGAGCTGAATGTGTAAAGGTGACTGGCGGTAGATGGTGTTTCAGACAAGATTGTACGTTATGCTGTTGGCGGGCGGCGCGAGACCGCACCAGCTGGTCTGGTCTGTGGTAGAAGATACCTTGCTCTGTGCCTGGGACTGAGGGAGGAGGAAGAGCAAGGTACCTTGCCTTGGGTATCGGTTTGTCCCATCCTTAGGTTGCGCGAGGTTAGGTACGTACAGCACCCGACGGCTTATCGGGCGATAAGGTACTTGTGACGAACCTTGAACCCGAACCCAGCGCGCCTGAACACTGAACAGTGAGACTGTGAGACTGTCACAATCACAACCCACGACTACCTTACGAAGTACTCCGTACTGCGCACGAGGAAGTGCGACCCTGGTGGCGCCAAGTTCCAACGTCCAGGAACCAGAGATCGGTACCCGGGCCTTCCATTAGCCACGGATGCTATGCCCAGGGGCTTAAAGGGTGTTGCAACCCCCCTGTCCCCCCCCTCTGTCTTGGGTCTCTTGGCTGGGACTGGCCCCCGGGCAGGAGGGGCAGAACTGAGGAAGGGGGATACCCTGGCATCTGCCGCCCCTAATTGGGAAAATCTGCACATCGCGCACCGCCACGTGCGGGTCTTTCCTTAGTTTCCTCCTC